AAATGCATTCGAAAACCTTCTTTTTTTTTTTTTTTTTGCGACCGGTGTCGAAAACTAATTTAAAAAATGGATTCGGTATTTTTCTCACTCGCGAGAACAAAGGGTTGCGCCTCTCGTTACGAATTCAACCGGGCCTCGGAGAGATTCGTATAATTTTCGAAAACTCTTGAAACGACGGAGAAAGGAAGGACGATATTCGAGTCGTTCGAGAGAAAGAAAGGAAAGGAAAGAAAGTCTAATTGCGCGAATCTACGCTGGACGGCCGCCTGTATTTGCATAAAGTCGAAGACGAAATGCAATTAATCTCATTTCTTGGGCAGCGAAATGGCAGTTGGCGATTAAATCGGCATTTTCAGCGATAATCGGCGGCAGCAACCGGTCTTTACTTGTCCCACCCCCTCCTCCATCGTTTCATGGTTTTTCGCAGGAACGTTCGAATAATTCGAGACGGTCCGTTTATCGAACCAGCTTCGGTCATTAACGGCGAGGGAAACACACCGTTCCTTCCCTTTGAATATTTATATACACGCTATCAACACGTACCACGACTCTATTTGTCATCCCTTATCGGAGACTCTCGAGTGCTCCAGCGAGCGACCCAGCGTTTTGCCCGTCAGCGAATTCTCGGTAAACGCGCGTACGTGTGTGTGTGTGTGTGTGTGTACACTCGCCGTTCGAGCGAGAAACAAATAATTAACGATTAATCCCGATCGAATTTTCGTCCATTTCTCATCTCGATAATCGTGGAATATCCTGAACGGAAGGTACGGAGGACGGCAAAAAGACGTTCGGGGGGATCGCTCATTGGTTAAGCCGAGAATGATTGCCGCTAATTTCCAGTCAGCAAGAAATTTCCTAATGCTTTCAACGTGCTCGCCGTTAACCTCGAGAGCGGTTCTTGCCTCGAGATCTACTCGAAACCGTCCGTCCCTCGGATTAAGAACTTTGGGCGCGAAATTCAAAAAGCATCCTTCATTAGGGGCTTATTATATACGTTTTACAGAATTTAAAGTTCACTCAAATTTTATATGTGGTTTTATTATTGCCAGCAATATTTCATAGCTGCTATTTGTTTTTCTTCGATTTCTATTTATCGTTTTCACTGCCCAGTCAACAATATATAGTTTCTCAGATGCTGTGAAAAACTCGTTTAAACACGGAGCGATGAAGAAAATTGGGATCGAATGGCGAAATGCGTTCGAATTTGCCGCTCGTAATCTGGTAATTTCGCTCGCGCATGCGCTCGGTAATTCGTTCGCCGACACCCGATACTCTCCACTGATAAAACGCGTATTTTTATTTATCGTTTCCACTGTCCAGTCAAATATATATAGTTTCTCAGATGCTGCGTATGACGCAGTGAAAAACTCGTTTAAACACGGAGCGATAAAGAAAATTGGCACATTGAATTTGCCGCTCGTAATCTGGTAATTTCCCTCGCGCATGCGCTCGGTAATTCGTTCGCCGACACCCGATACTCTCCACTGATAAAACGCGTATTTTTATTTTTCGTTTCCACTGCCCAGTCAACAATATATAGTTTCTCAGATGCTGCGTATGACACAGTGAAAAACTCGTTTAAACACGGAGCGATGAAGAAAATTGGCGAGATGGTATGGCGAAATGCGTTCGAATTTGCTCGTAATTTCGCTCGCGCATGCGCAACGACGCCCGATACTCTCCACTGACAAAATATCAACCCGCTCAAAGCGGTGAATGTAAATACGGAAGGAGGCAATTTTGCAGAGATAATCGCACGAGTTATAATATTTAACGAATTCCTTCGTCCTATGCGTAGAAAACACACGGGATGAAATTAAATAAAGGAAGAATTCTTTCCTTCTTTTTCCCCAATGATTGGGCGCAAGTGTCTCGAGAGGCAAAGTTTACATACGTGCAAGAGAGAGAGAGAGAGAGAGAGAAATGGGACGCGTAGCGAAAGTGAGGAGTGGGGGAAGGAGGAGGCCACTGCGACAAACTTCGAACAAGTCGAGCAGCCTGAAATCGAATGAAGTTTCGGGGAGACTTAGCGGAGTGAAAAATTGCAGGAGCAACTTTCACAATGCTCCCGGACCCATTAAGCGGCTCAACAAGTACGATTCCCGGTAACCGTTTTGCTCGTCGACTTTGAATCGAGGAGATTCGCGCAGGAGAAAAGGAGGGGAATGGACGCGAGTGGACGCATGGAGGGAAAATTGTTGTTCTCGAAATGGCGAAGAGGAAGAGAGAGAGAGAGAAAATAAACGCGACTTTTTCGACTCATCGTTTTCTCCAGATTCTCTCTTCCCCGCCTCTTTACCTTTTAAGCGACGCCTCGACTAATGCAATTCCACGGAGAGATCGACTTTCTTTTTTTAATTGATCCACGGGGAGAAGGAAGAACCAAGGTTAATCAACCTGCTTCCTTTCCGCGGAAGTATCGTCATCGATTCTTGAGAAAAATCGTGTACTCGATCGTCAGTATTTTCATCTCTCTTATTTATTCATTCCTCTCTAAAGAGATTTCTCCATCATCCTTTGCTCGATCGAGTATATAATGTAAAACTACTCGCTACTCCCACGATAAATCCATTGTTTTTTTTAAATCCTCGTACAGAACTCATTAAGAGAGCTCCCTTCGATTCCGCGGAAAGAGATTGCATTGTTAGCCCGCATTTCCCTCGAACGAGAAATCCCTCTTCGTCTCCGCGATATTTTTGCTCAACTTTATTGAAAAATAGCGAGTCGAATCTCTTCTTCTTCTTCTTCTTCTTCTTCTTCTTTTTACTTTTAAGAAACAACAAGCAACGAGTTCGCAACGCGCGAAAGGAATTTTATTTAACTCTGGGATGGAGTTTGTTAGCGAGGCCAATGATCGGCGAATGAGCAGTGAAAACAGGAATCTGCTCTAATTACGCTCTTAACATGTATCTTTGCAAAGCATCGAAAAGTCCAAGTTTTCTCCTCCGCGGCTGAGGAGAAAATGGAAGACACGGAAGAAAGAAAGGAAGAAAGTTAGCTCGCTGGAGGAGAATGGCGGACGTGAGGGAAGCTTGCGAGTCGTTCGTAATATTTTTCCACGGCCTAGCTCCGTCCGTTCTGCTCCAGTAGTCTAATTCGGTTTGCCTTCTTCCCTCTCCTTCCTCGCACCTCTCTCTCTCTCTCCACCCGAATCGAAAACTTTCGAGAGGAGAGTCTAGTTTGCCGCGAGGAACGTGACGGAAAACTCTCCGCATTATTCCTTTCTTCGAATCGAAGAAAGCCTTTCCCCGTTCTTTCTCCCTTCCTTTCACGCCCGGCTTTCCAATCACGTATCCCACCGCGTAAACACACGTTCGTCTTAATTACTTATTAACCCGCTCGATCCTTAACTCGATCCGCGCTTTTGGAAGTACAGAACAAGAAACACTCTCATATTCGTTTCCCGATCGTTCGCGTTTTCCGCGTTTCACGCTCTAATTGCCTCATTTTCGAATGCTTTTCCTTCCCTCGAGCACGTATTACCACCGTAGAGAGAGAGAGAGAGAGAGAATTTCGTATAATAAACGCGAACCCTTGCAAGAGGTCCAAGGTGCCGTAAATTTTCGACAGCTTTAAAGGCGAGCACGGTGGCTAAAAGCAGACGTAACCAAGTAAGCGCAAAGTGCGCGCCGCGCTTTTCATCAACACTTTTCCATTCCACGAAGATGGTGGACTCTCTCTCTTTCTCTCTCTCTCTCTCTCTTCCAGTAACAACAACGCCTCGAATATCATTCTTGGTTTACGGAAAGGCTAGGATAGGTTAGGCCGACCTCTCCGGCCGAGGACCCTCGGTAAAGCTTCGCAGAATCTTCCGAGCGGAAGGTTGCATCGATTAAAAGCGGCAAAAACCTTGGTCGTTTGACCCGTGCGAAATTAAGAGGCGCGCGTTCGAATCTCAAACCTTCCTTTCAACGCAACGAAAAATTGGGAAGAGAGAGAGAGAGAGAGAGAAAGAAAGATAGAGAGAAAGAGAGAAGAGACAAGAGACAGAGAGAGAGAGAGAGAGAAGAGAGGGAGAGAGAGAGAGATGCAACGATATTA